ACCCTGTCTTGAAGCATCACTGAAAATGGTGAAACTCTGAGAAGGATCGGGAATAGTAAATACCGGTGCTGAAGTTAGTCTCTTCTTAAGCTCTTGAAAGCTCGATTCACATCGATCAGTCCATTTGAACTTCACAGACTTCCTCGTCAGCAGGGATAAAGGAAGGGCAATCTTGGAAAAGCCCTCAATGAATCTGCGGTAATAATTAGCCAAACCGAGAAAGCTGCGAACCTCGGACGGACTCTTCGGTGTCGACCAGTTCTGAACAGCTGCAACCTTAGAGGGATCAACCTCAATAACTGCCTGCGTAATCACATGACCAAGAAAGGTTACTTGCTGGAGCCAGAATTCGCACTTGGAGAATTTTGCATATAACTTTTCTTGTCTAAGGGTTTCAAGAACGACCCTTAGATGCTCCTCATGTTCCTTCTGGCTCTTGGAGTAGATAAGAATATCATCAATGAAAACAATGACAAACTGATCAAGATAAGGATGGAAAATACGGTTCATTAGGTCCATGAATACAGCTGGAGCATTGCTGAGTCCGAACGGCATGACGACGAACTCATAATGTCCATAACTAGTACGGAAAGCGGTCTTGGGAATGTCTGACTCCTTGATTTCAGCTGATGGTAGCCTGATCACAAATCAATCTTAGAGAAAACACAAGCTCCTCTCAACTGATCAAATAAATCGTCGATCCTAGGAAGTGGATATTTGTTCTTGATCGTCAACTAGTTAAGATCCCGGTAGTCATTATACATGCGCATGGATCCGTTCTTCTTCTTGACAAAGAGAACGGGTGCTCCCCACGGTGACACGCTCGGTCGAATGAAACCGAGTCGTAATAAATCCTGGATTTGCGCCTTAAGCTCCTGCAATTCGTTTGGCGCCATACGATATGGTGCTTTGGAAACTGGGCCGGCTCCTGGAATAAGGTCAATAGAGAACTCTACCTGCCGGTTAGGCGGTCCTCCTGGAAGCTCATCCGGAAACACATCCACAAACTCACGAACAATAGGAACGTCGTGAGGTGTTCGTGCCTTCGGAGAATCATCAACAAGACTGACGATGTAACACCCCGACTTTCTAATACATCAGAGTACGCGGTTTTTCGCAAATTTTTCGAATAAATAAATAAATAAACTAACTTCTTAATTTGCGAAACTGATTCGGGGGTTACCATGAAAACTTGATTTTCTGAAAACCGTTAGAATTTAAACTGATAAATAAAAACGGTTATAATTTATTATCCGACTAACGTCGGGGCAAAGTCTGAAAGTTTTAGCTGAAGTCTAGCGTGGCAAAAACATAAAGGTTCGATAATAAGTTCTGAAAAGTTTTAG